TCTTAAAAATAGAAAGAGAAAGTAATTAAAAGTATAAGAAGGGGCCTAGGTGATCGCTCAAGTGGTAGGACCCAGGTCTTGCATGCTTGAGGTTGGACTTGCTCCTCTGCCCCCACGAGCACTCAAGATCCTGAAGGCCCACACTGCTGGGCCCAGGATGCAGGCAGCGATCCTGCGTCCCCACTGCCTATAACAACCCCGAGCTTTTAGACTCAGTTTTGAAATCTTCATCCAAGAGAGACTGTCAAAAAGATGTCAGCTTTAGAGGGAATACACTTCTAACTCTCAGAATACACTTATAACTCTCAGAACCTGATTTTACCATTTTCCAGCAGAGTGACCCTGATCATTTCATACTCTCTGATGTCTTGCCATCATCTTTAAAAGAAGGGTAAACAGTACTTAACATGCCAATAAAGAAAGTTAGAAAACCCAGGAAATGTATAGGTAGTAGTTCAACAAAAATAAAACAGTTAAACCTTTGACCTTTGTGCTTCTACTGTTTGTACAGTTATTAGGATACAATCTATTGTGTGGCTCTTTTGCCCTCTGAACATCCTGAATCTGCTCCTGCCTGCCCACTATGCCCATCCTTTATTCCTGAAAACTGTTAGTGTCACTCCAGCCTGGGCCTTCCACTTAGGCCCTTCTTTCTTCCTCACAACAGTTTGCTACCACTTATCTAATTCTGTCTACTGCTATATTGATCTAAGAGACTAATTGGAACTGTTCTTTCCACCAAAATGCCACTGAAGTGAGAATTAAGAACATAACTCATTTTACATTGGAGACCTTCATTGATGATCAGTTTGCACACATACACACATCCCTTTGAAGAACACGACAAGAAACATCCGTTTTTAAAAAGCACCTTAAAAATATTTGGTTCTCCAAGAGAAAGAAAACAGGTTATCAAGGTAGAATTAAAATTGCCTCCAATTTTTGGAGTCTGTTCAAGGACAGGCTCAAAATAATCTAGTATAAAGTGATTCAAGGCAAGGAACCCAAAGATAAAAACAGTACATTTTTTTTTTACTTAACTATTCTTTCCTTTATTTTGTTTTTGAGCTACACGTGAAACTTGGCCATGTCCAGGGCTAACTCCTGGCACTTTGGGGTACCAGGGAGTGAACCTAGATTGACCCCTTGCAAAGCAAGCACCTACCTGCTGTACAGTCCCTTTCTCCAGTCCTTTTTTCTGCTATCCTAATAGGATTACTTAATTTAAAATTTTATGTGTAATCTTCATATTGTGTCTTAAAAATTCAAAAGTTGATTGTGTAAAAATAAGTCAAAAGCCTAATCTAATTTGACCTGTAGGCCAAGAGTGAATAGAACTCTTAAACTACAATGAATGTTACATCATTCAGAGCCATATAATATGTCATTCCCACAAGGATGAGTATTGTAATTCCTGTCTGCCTGTTGCAGTCTTGGTTAAAATAGACATCCTACACTTAAGGGCTTCTTAAAGTTTTAGCACTAGTTTCCTTCCTGGGTTAAATGTTGGGGTTATTAATTAAAAAACTGATTTACAAAGTTACTTATATTTGAGTTTTAAGCATATATATTTAAACACCAATCCTACCACCAGTGTTCCCAGGTTCCCTCCACACCCAAACCCTACCTCATCATTGCCTGTCACCTTAAGAGGCACATTACAAAGTTAAAGTGGTTGCCACTTCAACTTAGGTTTTCAGTTTTGCTGAGTTTGGGATATATGGCTATACCATTAACCATATCACCGATATTACTTAAGCTCTAATGCTAGGACACCCATCACTTCTCTTCTTTCCCCCTTAAATTCTTCCCTTCTCTGTTCATCTGTCTAAACACTGGGGCTAAGGATAATCTAGACATCCTCCTTTTATTGCAATACATTTCCTCCTCCAGTATTGTATATACCACAGAGCATCCTGTGTTTGTCTTTTTCTCTCTCTTTTTTTTTTTTTGGCTTACATCACTCAGTATGATAATCTTCCAGTTTCAGCCATGTTGCAGCAAATTGCATGATTTCATTGTTCCTTGCAGCTGCATAATCTGTTGTGTATATATACCACATCTTCATAATCCATTCATCTGTCATTGGACACGTAGATTAATTCCATATCTTGGCTAGTGTACTGAGTGCAGCAGTGAATAATTATGTGTATATGTCCTTTCATGTGTATATGTCATTCTTATGTCCTGGGGATAGATGTCCAAAAGTAGTTTGCTGGTTCAGATCGCAGTTCACTTCTAAGTTTACTGAGAACTCTCCGTACTGTTTTCTAGCGGGGATGTACCTGACAACATTTGTGGATTAAATGTCTTAGATAAAAGAAATGTAAATGTTTCAAACTCTTTAACTCAAAACCATAGTATAGATTCTATGAAAAAGTTTTCCAGAAGATGAAAGTTTTTTAAAGTAGTTTTCCATTGGATGGCTTAACCAAAATAATTTTTAATAATTAAAACAACCTTCAAACTACCTGGGACCAGGCAGGTGGTTCAAAAAGCTGGAGTTTTGCATTCAGTAGCCTCAGACGTGATCTCTAGCATCACATGTTTCCTTAACACTGCCAGGAATAGAAACTTCCTCTTTCACCCACCCAGCACCTCACCACAAATGGCCCTTGAGCACTAATAGCGCCCCATTAAAATTTTTATTTATTTGTTTATTTATTCTTTGCTTTTTGAGTCGCACCTAGCGATGCTTGGGAGTTACTCCTGGCTCTGCACTCGGGAATTATTCCTGACAGTGCTTAGGGGACCATATAGGATTCTAGGGATTGAATCCTGGTTGGTCTCGTGCAAGGCAAACACCCTACCCTGTACTATTGCTCCAGCCCCCAATTAAAATTTTTAAAAGGCTTATTTTCCTTGTGACCATGAAATAATGAAGAATACTCAGTGGAATGAAAACCTGATAGAATTTAGCATGAAAGTTAATATCACGATCACGACCATCCTGTTGTTCGTCGATTGCCTCGAGCAGGCCCCAGTAACGTCTCCTTCATCCTAGCCCTGAGATTTTTTAAAAGTGCCATATTCAAGGCTCTTTCAGGGTTAGGAGAATGAGCCCCATCATTGTTACTGGTATTTGGCATATTGGGTACGCCACGGGGAGTTTGCCAGACTCTGCCGTGTGGGCAGGTTACATTTGGTAGTGTACTATTTTGTCCAAAGTAAGAATGAGATAATAAGGTGTCGCACGGCCGCAAATGCGGCTGCGCACTTCCGGGAACTGGATTTTAAAGTCTCTGAGTCTTGGCCGTTGATGGGATTACACCGTGCCAGAGGGCCAGTTGGTGGGTGTGACCCCTGCCTACTGGAATATGGAGGATCTGGGTGGAGGATGCTCATCCCTGATCTGAGCAGACTTGGAGATCTCAGCCCCAGGACCCACGTGCCTTTGTTCCTCTGCCAGTACCTTCATGAGTGCGGAGAGTGGTCTCAGCATGGTGGTGGCTGGTTCTGGAGGTCTTCGGCTGCCAGAGCCCTGGTCAGGGCGGGGAGGAAACCTCAAGTTAATATATAGAACAATAATGCCTGCTCTTTTTTTTTTTTTCTTTTTGGGTCATACCCAGCGTTGCACTGAGGTTACTCCTGGCTCTGCACTCAGGAATTACTCCTGGCAGTGCTCAGGAGACCATATGGGATGCTGAGAATCAAACCCAGGCTGTCTGTGTGCAAGGCAAACACCCTACCTGCTGTGCTACCACTCCAGCCCCCGCCTGCATTTTTTTATATATACATGGCCAGAGTGATAGCACAGCAGTAGGGCGTTTGCCTTGCACGAGGCCAACCCGGCCGACCTGAGTTCTGTTCCTCCGCCCCTCTCAGAGAGCCCAGCAAGCTACCGATAGTATCTTGCCCTCACAGCAAAGCCTGGCACCTGTGGTGTATTCGATATGCCAAACACAGTAACAAGTCTCAGAATGGAGATGTTACTGGGCCCACTCGAGCAAATCAATGAACAACAGGAGGACAGTGCTACAGTGCTACATGTGTACAGGTTTATGTGTATGTGTGTGTATATGTAAATGCGTATGTGTGTGTGTGTGTGTGTGTGTGTGTGTGTGTGTGTGTAGAACTTTTGACGCATACACATAAAATATTCAGGTCAACCATCCTACAAAATGTTGACAAAGGTGTGAAAGGGTGACAGAATTAGAGATGATGTAGATCTTTCCACTACTAATTTGTTGAATTTTTAAAATGTTCTATAATGAGTGTATCAGCTACAATTAAAAGATCAGTAACTAAAGTTTTTGGGAAATTTGTAGTTTTTAAATGGAAAACACAGTTAACTTTTTAATTATTTTTGGGTTTGGGAATCACATTGATAATACAGGAGTAAGTGCTTCAGGCTTACTCCTGACTCTGCACTCAGGGATGACTCCTGGCGGGGCACAGGAGGGCCTTACAAGGAGTAGAAATCAAAGCTGGGCTGGCCATGTGCTCATCCCACTTGCCACTCTACTACCACTTCATTGCCAAGTTTAACTTTTTAATGAATTCCTTATTTCAGTTAATAACATACAGTTTCTAAGGTATAGTCTCAAATTTCTCAGATACATTCTATGATTGATCATAAAACAAATTGTAATGCATATGAGAAAGGTTATCTTAAAGAGGCTGACACACGTCTTTAAACTTTCCTGCTTCTGTCTTTTGAGTCACTTTCATTTTATCCTACTATTATACCCTGCTCTTTCATCCTCCCACAAACAGACCTTTGTGTTCATATTTATATTCCTGCTCTCTTTTTCAACATAGTCTAGCTGTGTGTTCTTCAAATATTGTCTAGCTGTGTGTTTTACAAATTGTGAGGAAATCAAAGGACCTAAAAACGTAGTTCATAATGAATTCTTAGTTTTAATGAAGAGTGCTCTGGGTTTACTTGCATTCTAACTGGCACCAACTGCAAAAGAATTTCAGGCATCAGGGATAGGCCCAAGTGGGAGATATTTTGGGAAAGTCCACACCACAGAGACAGTTGCTTGCTCTGGATAAATACAAGCTCGGTTCACAATCATTAGCTCCTTAGTTGTGTATATTGTGTGGTTCAAGGTAAGTAACTAGTTTGGTTTTGTTTTTTCATTACTACATATGTTTGTGAAATTGCTTCAGAATCATTTTCTTAGTATTAAGAATCTAGTATTTAATTTTTGACTGTAAATATAATGCCTTAAACTATTAAGTGATTTTTTTTTTAGCTTTTCCTTTCCTTTTGTGGGTATAGTAACTTCTTTATAAAGCTTGAAGAATCATCCAACTTTTCAGGAAAAAAAAAATCTCTAAATCCCTATGAGTACCATTAGAACCGTTTCATTGCAATATATTTGATTTCTTTCTTATACCGAAAGGCTTCTAGAAGTTAACTCTTGATCCGTCGTATTCCAGATACTCCAGACAACCTCACCCTATTTTTAAAGATTTCGAATTAAGTATTGCACTAATGTGTACGTATCTGTCTTTGAGTTGACTACCTATCAGGCTGCAGTTAATAGTTTTTTTTTATTCCTTCAGAATTAAAAATTACTTTGGCACACACAAAGTATAATGCCATTTAACAATTTTTTACATAGAAGTAAACATTTATAATCAATACTTGCTTATATCCTTAAATAATTTCCCTTGGTAATTACAGAAATTAGACTATCAATTTGTCATATGATTTGGTATTAATAGTGGTTGCCAAATTTAAGTGTTATTCAAGAAGATTTATTATAGTAACGTATTAGACTAAGGTAATAGAGGTTATTGTTTTAAAAGCTGTGCTAGTTATATTGTATGCCGTCACTGGTATTCACAATTTTGTGCAAAGTATAGCAAGTTGTTTGCCATCATTTGTGTTCATAATTTTGAGCGAAGTGTAACCACTAATCAAGTTGGCCTGTGTTCTGACTTATTTTTTGACCTTCGTATTTGGCTAGTGTTTAAAATAGGACATGCTGTTTTTTTATCTGTTACTTACCTTTTTTTTTTTTTAAATTTTAGTCTCATGTATTTTCAGAGGAAAGAAATTGCCCTTAAAAAGCCTTATTGCTTTTTACTGTTGCACAGTTCATCCAGTATTAATTCTCAGGAACAGGACAGTAAAATTTAAAGGAGAAAATATAAGTTGTAGGAAGAAGCATATGTGGTTAAAACACTTTTATTTCATATCTTTTAAAAAGTTAAAGCAATTTATGTTACCTTTTCCATTAGAATTCGGAAATAATACAGATACCTTGAATTTCATTTATCTAGTATTTCTGAAAATTGCTTATAATTTTTTAAAGAAATTTGCTTGATTCATTTTAAAGATTTCCCTAGGATTAAGGAAAACTGTATTTCTCCTTTGTTATGATCATATGCCTTATCTGCGCGATTTTAGTGCATATGTGTTAATGTTTTCTTCATCAGATTAAATTATTTCTAGCAATAGCATATTCTTTATTTTTTTAGTTTTCAGTATTTTTAAATAATAATACAATTCTTTACTAATGGGTATTATCATTCCAGAGCTATTCATACATAATCTGTGTAAGGGTGTAGTTTTTTTTTTAATTTTCATAATGAATGCGATGAAGAACATCTTATGTAAAAACTGGATTTTTTTTCATTGATAATAGATTTTTTTGTTAAGACACCAAGCCCTATCTATATAATTCTGACTGACCAGATACTTGTAACTTTAGTGAAGCAATCTTATATTGTAAAAACCCTTTGTGGTTTATGTCTTGAATTTTTGAAGGTTAATTTCTCTCTTTTGGTGATTGCAAGGGATGGGGTGGTTGGCTGCTGTGCTCAGGGCTTACTCCTGGCCTTGCATTCAGGGATCATTCCTGGCAGACTTGGGAAACACTTGAGATGTTGGGGATTGAACCCTGGTCCATGTGAAAAGTCAGCACCCTACCCACTATACTCTTGGTTTTGGTCCTCAGAATTTCTATTGAAAAAATATAATTTATTACATAGTTTCATATGTATAGCCTTACAAATCAGCATCATGTGTTATATTAAATTCTACATTTGAAATTTGCTTGTAATTGTCTTGAGAGAAGCTAGCAGCTCTTCCTCTGCCTGTGGCATAAACACTAATCCAGAGCTGAAATGACAAAGCTGTTAAGAGAAATGGAAAAGTAATATAATTTCGTCAATTCCTTACCTATGAAAGACATGAGATTTTTCTCTGAGACATTTAGTTCTAATGTCTTCAGCTCATGTAAACAAGGAGAAGTAAGTATTCTAAGTATAAATGATATTTTACTCCTTTCTTAATTCAAATGCAGAGTACTTTATAAGATATATTTAAATAAGGATTAAGGAATATACCATAATAAGTGTAAAAAAGTCATTTTAAAAAGTTTTATAGATAATTAAAATAATTTATATCGGAGTTTTAAAATGCTGACTGGGAGTAGGTTCCATATTATTATATGTACCTGATTCGTTGAATTATTTAGTATAAATGTTGTTAGGATCATGAGGGTTTTTTTATTAATTTTTATTAGTGAAACACCAGGAGGTACAGTTGTAGACTTAGAAATTTTTGTGCTTGCGTTTCGATTATACAATGATCAAATACCCATCCCTCCACTAGTGCCCATTTTCCACCACCATGGATCCCAGTATCCCTCCCACCCCCATCCCCCCGCATCTCACCCTGCCTCTGTGACCTTTTGTTCTCTCTCTCCTTTTGGGTGTTGTGGTCTGCAAAAGAGGCATTGAGTGGCAATCATGTTCGGTCTATAGTCAGCTTTCAGCATGCATCTCCCATCCTGGGAGGATCCTCCAAATATCCTTTATTTGGTGCTCACTTCTCTATCTGAGCTGCCCTATCCCCTAGCATGCCCAGCTGGCCTCTAAGCCATGGAGTAAGCCTCCTGGTACTGCTCTTGGCTATTCTTGGGTATTAATCTCCTATTTTGTTACTTTATGAGGATCATGAGGTTTTTTTTAAACTTAGTCAGGGATGTGTATATATCCTTCAACATCTGTACAGACACACTTTAAACAATTTTAAAATTTGGTTAAGTTTCCTCATCCACAAGTATACTTGTTGCAAAAACTCTTAGTAAAAGTACTTTAAAAATAAAAACTGGGGGCTGGAGCAATAGCACAGCAGGTAGGGCGTTTGCCTTGCACGCAGCCGACCTAGGTTCAATTCCCAGCATCCCATATGGTACCCCGAGCACCGCCAGGAGTAATTCCTGAGTGCATGAACCAGGAGTAACTCCTGTGCATCGCCAAGTGCGACCCAAAAAGCAAAAAAAAATTAAATAAAAACTAGTGTCACTATGCTAATGTTTATAAAGCAGCTGTCCTTTTCTGAAGTATTATTCAAATCATTGCTTTACTGACAGATAACTCTTAGTATTCATACAGACACCCCCCACCCGAGTTCAGAAGATCATAGTTTGAGAAAAATAAAAAATATTTTCTAGAACAAGTAAGTGATGTAATATTGGTGAATACAGCTAAGGCTTTTGTGTTAAATTTGTATATTTAACTTAATAGGTTTAGTTTTTATTTTTTGCTCTCATAGTTAAGAAAAAAATAGCATCAATCATGTGAATAGTTAACTTTAGCATGTTATTCTCTTTGTGTATATGATAGATGGAAGATGGTGCCCCAAAGCATATTATCCAGATGACAGGATTTAAGATGGAAGAAAAGGAAGCTCTTGGCAAATTGCTTTTAAAACTAGATTGCACTTTTATTAAGAGTGAGGTGAGTACAGAAACTTATTCATCAGATTTTACAGTGTAATTTAAAAATACTAGAATTAAAATATAGTCCCTGATTCATAATATCTTCCCTTACAGTGACAGTGACAGTAGAAGCAATACATATTCAGTAAAAACCAGATTTAAATTTTTTGTGGATCCAGTGACCAAAACCAGGGCCTCACACTTACTGAGCAAATGCTTGGTTATTGAGCTATATCCCTGGCCCTCATATTTTGATTTGTGGGAAGGAGGTTTTTTGGCATACTCAGGGGACCTTATGCAGTCTCAGGCATCAAACTGGGCAAGCACCTTGTCTCCTATCTCTTCTGCTCCCATAGTTTTCATTTTGATTACCTCCACACCTGCTAAAAAGTAGCCAAGTGGCTAAAGTCAGCTGTGTGATCATGAGAGTGAGCAGCTTACATCCAAGACTTTTTTCATTTAGTGTGATGTCTAATAATAATATGAACTACTCAAATACGTTGTTATAAAATAGTCTTTGTATTAGGATTTTGACTCACTGTCGGTGTTCTGAGAGTTTAAGTAGGTTAGCTGAGCTATGATTTTTAGTAAGTTAACTACTTAAGTGATTTTTTTCTAAGGAGAGTATTTTTGACTTATGTAGGTTTAGGGTGCTAGAACTGTCTTAAGTTGAGAAATAACCTATTCTGGACTAAGAATTACTGCTATTTAAAAGGAATTTAAATAAATATAAATAAAGAATGTAAAAGAATTTAAAAGTGTGTTAGAAAGGAAATACTACCCTGATAAAGTTTTCTAATGTGTCTGGATTTTTCTTTTAGAAATACAAAAATTGTACACATCTTATAGCTGAACGCCTATGTAAGAGTGAAAAATTCTTAGCTGCTTGTGCAGCAGGTAAGTTATGTGCCTCCTGCCTGGCTTTGAAAAGTAACCTCCAGATTAAAGAATAATTTCCTCTAATCTCTAATTATACATTTATTATATCAGGAATAAATTGATTTTTCTGAAAAATGTTTGTGAGACCTTTCGATTATTTTTCTGAGTACGATTTTTGTTGTACATGCAGATTTTAGTAAGCTATATTACGTATTTTTATCAAAAGGATTAGCAATAAAAAACGAAAACAAAAATCCCAAAATTTTCTTGACGCCTTAGCTATATCTACTTTCCTTGGAGCTGCCATCTGAACTAGTCAGTTTTGATTTTGTTTATTTGCTTTGGGCATAACTGGTAGTATTCGGGGCTTATTCTTAACTCTGTGCTCAGGGGACCATACTGGATGCTGGAGATCCTTTTTTAGTTTTTAAAGTTGTAATTGGTCTAAGTTATCCTTAGTCCACTGATTGCAGTTTAAAGATCATGTTTCACTAAATTAATTTACCAGGTTTTGGGATCATTTTTCAGAGAAACACTTAGATTTTATTACTTAAATAAGTGGTATACTTACATTGTTCTTTGCTACTTAAAAGAATCATTGCTATCTAGATAAGAAAATATAGAATACAATATTAAAATTTGCTAACTCAAATTTCTTTTGTAAAATGCATTATTATTGAAAGCATTTCAATATTATTGAAAACATTTTTAGCTTAGGAAGAATTTAAATTCAGGTCCATAAGTAATAACAGTTCTCGCAATCTGTAAGTTATACCAAATTATTTTTTGGATTTTAAAACCTTAGGCTTGGAGCTGGAGCGATAGTACAGCAGGTAGGGCATTTGCCTTGCACACGTCTGACTTGAGTTCGATTCCCAGCATCCCATATGGTCTCCCGAGCACCACCAGGAGTAGTTCCTGAGTGCAGAGTCAGGAATAACCCCTGTGCATTGCCGGGTATGACCCCCCCAAAAAGCCAAAATAAAATATAATAAAACTTTAGACTAGTAACTTTTCTAGTAACATTTAGAACTATATCATGGGGAAGATTACATGCATACAATGTTCAGTGATTTCGTCAAAATATTTAAGAAAACAGTTCAAAGAGAACAGTGGTAATGTAGCTTAAGAGTCTCACTTCGAAAAGATTCAATTTATGTGACACTTGGCTTTTACTGTTTACATGTGTCAGCCGAAATTCTTTTGTAACTTTCAGTTCCTTTGCTTTCTAGGAAAATGGGTACTGACTAAGGACTACATAATTCATAGTGCCAAAAGTGGCAGATGGCTGGATGAAACAACTTATGAATGGGGATATAAAATTGAAAAAGACTCCCATTATTCACCTCAAATGCAATCTGCACCTAAAAGATGGCGGGAAGAGCTGAAACGCACTGGCGCTCCAGGAGCCTTCCACAGATGGAAAGTTGTTCTCCTGGTTAGAGCCGATAAAAGAAGTGATTCTCTTGTAAGGTAATGGGTCTCATAAAAGCGAAAGCAATGGGTCTGTAAAACAGTTTCGGTTTGCTTCAATACCTTTTTGTGTTTCTTTGCTTTCACTAATTCTACCTAAAGATGTCTTGGTTATGTGCTGTTTGATCTCCCACCTAAACCATTCTGCACATTTAAGTGTATGTGTCTGGTGAAACGAAATCAGTTTTACAGTGTTGCATGCAACTGTCTTGTAATCTCTGTTTTGCTTTTCAGGCTGTGTCTTTGTGTCACTGCAAAAGAAAAACTTAGAAGTTTTTTGTGTTTTAAGTAAATTACAGCAAATTCTAAAATAATGTCTTTTCATTTCATTATAATATGGATGTGAGAAAAAGCAGTCCACCTGGGTCTACTATGTGGAGTTTTCACCTCTGTAGGGTTTTTCTGGTACTCTGGTTTCCTCCCTGTCCCCAAAACATTCACGTTAGTGTGAGCGTATGGATGAACTGGCATGCCGGAATTGTTACTGTTTGAGTCGATGTGGGGGTGTGAGTGTGCCCTCTGAAGGAATGGTGTTTTATCCAGGGTTGGTTGACTCTTTACTGAGCTGCCAATCTAGGCTGTTACTAATGACCCTGAACTTGCTTGGTTTTCCTTTTGAAGTTGTACCCTGCAGTGCTGGGAGCTACTGTCATGTCCAAGCACGGGCTTTATTCCTGGTGTGCTCTGAGACCTGTAGTGCTAAGGATTGAACACGGGCCTTCTATATGCAGAAATCATGTACTTTCTCTAGTCCTAGGGCTCTGAACTTGAATAGGCAGGAGGGAGAACGAATGATTACAAATTATTGTTTGATATTCCAGGTGCTTGGAATCCTTAGAAGTGTGTTGACATATTGTGACTGGAAATATGCCAAAAAAACTCGTGTCAGTTACCTTGTGGACAAACTGGTTTCTTTATGTGTCATTTTGGTTAAATTTTAAGTTTCTAGGAACCTCTCCATGACAGTGTTAAATGCAGGACTTAACTGGATTACATTAACATAAACACCTTTATTCTGGGTTTATAATAATGCTTTTTTCTTGGGGGAAAGAGTGGGGATGGGTTGGTGTCACACCAACTGTGCTCAGAGCTTATTCCTAACTCTGCACTCAGGGATTATATGGGGTGCCAGGGATGGAACCTGGGTTTGCCTCATGCAAGAAAAGCACGCTACCCACAGTACTATATCTCTTTAACCCCTCTCTAATGCTCTCTTATTGCTTCATACCACTTCTGTCATAATTAAATTTGTTTTCTTTACATCATACTTTTAAAATTCTTTCTAAATTAGAATCTAAGAACTTTTTGCTCCACTAATATGTAATTTATAAATAGTAAAATGTACTTACTTTAATGCACATTTTGTTGAATTCTGGAAACTTAGTATACCCATTCATACCACAATAATAAAAATCTGCGTTGACATCATTTCATGTCCAAACACATTTAATTCTACACCAACAATATCAGGCAACCACCATTTTTCCAATTGCTCCCAACTGGTGATTAGGAAGCCTGATACTCAGCTAACCAGATTAATATAGTGCCCAAGAATATGGTGCTTTGAGCCCTGATGCACCACCTGATGATGGTATACAGCAGGGCCTCCTAAGACAGCACTCAGTGTATACTTAGGAGTGGTGCCAAGGATAGAACGAAGTTTGGCATGTGAGGCTTGTGCATGGTTTTGTTATGCTTCATGTGGAACCTAGATCCTGGGAGGTTTCACTGCATGAGTTTTTAAATTTTTCTTGGTTCTAGCATTCAGACTCTGGGTAAAACATATTCTCTACGTCTGATCTACAGCTACAGGATGTCGTGTTATTAATTGGTGTTCCTTTTTGATTTTCCATTTTTAGCAGTGCCTGCATGATGAATTCATGACAGGACTCTCCTGATGGTCCTTCTCTCTTGCATGTTACTCATTGCCAGTATTAGATCTTTGCTTCATGTTGATATATCTTAGGCCTCCTTACCACACAGAAATGACTTTTGCTTCCGTCTCTTACTAGAAAACTCTTGAGTTTTATCAGATGGTACAATCATAGAATGTCCTGTCCCCTTTCCTAGAACGGAGTGGGTTTCACTCTTGCAGTAGAAGCATCCCAGCACCCCCCCCCCCCCCACCCCCAGGTTTAGAAGATAGTAGATTTTCTTACCTATCCAAGTGATTGAAGGTTTTTATTTTATATGTGAGAAGGGTGCAGGAAAATGGGCCCGGTTTAACATTGAGTCTCTCGAGGGCTGCAGATCCTTGCTTGGTATAAGCAGAGACTGCTTGTGATACCTTCTCCTACTCTCTTGTCTGAATATGTGACAGGGATCTACAGCAAAGAGCTAACAAGCGACATTGTACTTCTTTGTATCAGGGACTATTCTAAAATGTCAATATCACTGCTTATCCCTTTTAAATCCCTTATCCTGTATTGGGACTAGAGCCAGAGTACAGTGGGTAGGGCATTTGCCTTGCACGCGCCCGACCCAAGTTCAATTCCCAGCATCCCATATGGTCCCCTGAGCACCGCCAGGAGTAATTCCTGAGTGCAGAGCTAGGAGTAACCCCTGTGCATCACTGGGTGTAACCCCAAAAGAGAAAAAAAAAAAACCAAAAGTAACCAGTATTATAACCACTTTTTTGGCCTGGCAAAAGTGAGATCATTTGAATCCTCAATCATTATCAGTCTTCAGGTAATTAAATTTTTTGGTTGAGTTTTTACTTGGTTTATAGTTCTCCGATGGGTTTGTGAAAAGTTGTGATTTTGTGATTAAGTGACTTTTTTCATTAGGTGGTCAGTGTCTTTATGATATATTCTAAATTCTAAGCAGGAGACCTTTCATAACACTTTTGGGATATGTGTTCCTATGTACCTTCTGTGAGTCTAAATGTTAAATATAATATTTTTTAGGAGATGGGGGAGGGTTTGGAGCCAAACCCAGCACTTAGCCCCTAATTTAGGGGCTAGTCCCTGGTTCTGCTCAATGATCACTCCTGGTTGGTTCTCTCAGAAACATATTTGGTGCTAGGGGTTTGGACCAGGGTTGACCATCTATGTGCAAGCCAAGTACCTTAACCCTTGTAATACTTTTCACTAAAGTGTATTTCTTAATGTAGATGTAAAATACATAAATATTTTTAAGAGAAAGGTTGGGAACAAGGTCCAGAATAATTTCCTTAGAACTACGTTGTCTTCTGAATAATAACTTCCTTTGATTTCTTGTATTGTTCTCTTTACTTACTAAGATCACTTTTCGCTAGGTAATAAGTTTCATACTTTTAATTAATAAAATAAATATAACATAGAAAGATGAGCATAATTTCTTAAACATCTGCTCTGGCCAACTAAAAATTTTAGAAGTCACTGCATTGTTTATTATTCAACTCAAATAGCCTAAAACAATTATTTCCTAAAGTAACAAAATAGGATACTAACACCCAAGAATAGCCGAGTTAAATACCAGGAGGTTTACTCCATGGCTTGGAAGCCAGCCACACATGCTAGGGGAAAAGGGAGCTCAGATAGAGAAGGGAGCACCAAATAAAGGGTTTTGAGAGGATCCTCCCAGGATGGGAGAAACAGGCTGAAAGTAGACTATAGATTGAACGAACATGATTGCCATTCACTGCCTCTTTTGCAAACCACAGCACCCAAAAGGAGAGCGAACAAAAGGGAATGCCCTGCCACAGAAGCAGGATGGGATGGGGGGGTGGGAGGTGGGAGGGATACTAGGAATCCGTGGTGGTGGAAAATGGGCATTGGTGGAGGGATGGGTACTTGCTCATTGTATAATTGAAACTCAAGCACAAAAATTTTTAAGTCTACAACTGTACCTCATGGTGTTTCATTAATAAAAATTAAAAAAAGAGAAAAAAACCAATTATGTCTTCGCTGAAATTTCCAGCAAATAATTTATTTATGTCTTATTTATTATCTTAATTGTAATATTTTGATTATTGTTCATATTTTTACTTTAGAGTTTTGGAGGCTGGAAAAGCAAATGTCATTTTACCAAAAGGTTCACCTAGTGGGATAACTCATGTGATTGCCAGTAATGCAAGAATCAAAGCTGAACAAGAAAAAGATAACTTTAAGGCTCCATTTTTTCCAATTCAGTATTTAGGGGATTTTCTTTTAGAGGTAAGTAATCATAGAAAACATCAATATAAAGATATAGATGTTTCAATTTTTGATAGTGTAATAGTTTAAAGTAATAAAAATGGTTAATTTTAAGGTAGTTGATCTCAGTTCTTTGGTGAGGGAGGGGGGGAGCATCACACCCAGCATTGCTCTTGGCTCTGTGCTCAGGGCTCACTCCTGGCAGAACTCAGGGGACCTTAATGGGTACTTAGAATGGAAGCCGGGTCAGCTACAAACAAGGCAAATTCCCTACCTGCTCTACTCTGACTTCTGCCCAAACTCAGTCTCAGTTTTTTTAATTCTTTTGGTTTTGGCTTCTAGGCACACCTGATGATGCTCAGGGATTACTTTTGACTCTGCATTCAGAAATTACTTCTGGTGGTACTCAGGGGAGAATATGGGGATTGAACCATTGTCTGCCGCCACGGTTTTTTTTTTATATTGGAGAATACTTCCTGATCTTAAAGAAGCATCACTAAATTATTTGTGCCTTACTCTTGTTTTTAGTACTTTTAATGGTGTTACTACAAAACAATTTTAAGCATTTTTAGACAAATGACATTATAAACAAAATAATAGCAGATACAGTATGTCATAGAGTTCTGATTCTGACACTACCACCTCTGGATTCTTGAGGACAGTGTGTAAGATTAGCACAATATGCACAATAACTACCACTGGTCTTGTATGCTACACCTCTTACTTAATAACTTTTTAACAGCTCATCTAGCTCATCTAGGGATGCCTCTGTGGGTTTTTTTTTTTTTTTTTTTTTGGTTTGTCTGTTTCTGTTTTTGTATTTGGGCCACACCCAGCTATGCTAAGGGCTCTTTGTTCAGGATTATTCATGGCAGGGCTCAGGGCTGCTGAGATTGAACTGAGGTCAGTGGTCTATAAGGTAAGCACCACTTTACTATGACTCTAGCTCCAAAATTATGATTGGTAGGCTATTTTTTAAATTCAGTTTGATTTCCTGGTAAGAGAACTTAAACATTTTGAACTAGAGTTGGTGAAGAGACTTAAATGTAGTAAATTCTTTGAAGGGAAAATCATTCATTCTTTCCTTTAAAGAATTTACTTATGTTCAATAAACTTTGATTCTGTTGAGATAGTTCTTAATTCTAGATAAAAGTTAAATATCATAAATGGGTTATATTTCATTGATTACCTAATCTGTTTTTATCCATATACAGAAAGAAATTCAGAAGGATGAAGAATCCCATTCTAGATCTCTTTGGAATAAGCATAGCAATCAAGAAAAACACAGAAGTTTCAGAAAAGATACAGGATTTGTTGAAATGAAAGGTGCCTTACAGGAGACCAGGTGTAGAATTCAGGTAAAACTTAAAAACTGAATAATTTATGTTTCTGGATTTCTTAGATAATTGTTTGAGAAGCTATGTGATGGGAATGATCTGGATTTTAGAATCACAGAGTTGGTATTTATGTTTTACAGTCTGTGATTTAGAAATAATAGGAATTTTCCCTATTCACTGTCTTGAGCTACATGAAATAAAATATATAGATGCATGTAGGAAAATACAGCACCAATATATGCTGTTGTCTAATAATTAAAATTTATCTGTATGTGTAATGTGTGTCTTAAAATGTATTCTTATCTTTCATCAATATATTCTAACTTAAGGTTGTATTCAAGTATTTTATTCCACATAGAAACAAGGGTTTTTTTTTTTTTAACAAATTCATTCTATTTTGATTAAATGTGTAAAGCAAAAAAACATGGGTTGCTAAGGATCAAATCCAGGCTTCCTGTATGCTTCAGTGGGCTCTTTCTCCAACCAAAAAACAGTAATTTTAAACTAAAATAAGGAATCTGCTTACAGAAAGGACTATTTAAAAAAAAAAAAGCATTATTCGCATTAGTTTTACTATGGGAAAATCCTGCTTTTATCAAATATGAAAATTATTAAAATATATCTGCATACATCATTAACGCCTTTTTTAATTTAAGAAGATACACTATCATGTTGAAATTATTCCCCTTTTGGGGGGGATGGGCCACAGCCAGCAATGCTGGAATTATTCCTAGCTCTGGGTGTCCCTCCTGGCAGTGGTAGGGCACCATGTGGTACTTGTGATTAACCCTGACCACTTCCATGCAGAGCATGTATGCCAATTCATTATTCGATCACTCGGGTCTCCCATTTTTTTCAAGAAGATTTGTATGATGAATGAGCAACATATTTTGTGTAATATGCCTTTTTCTAGTTAATATTATATCCCTATAGCCTATAAAAAAGACTTTTAAGATTCTATTTCATCTACAACTTAGTTTTATAATATTTGGAAAAATTAATATAAAAAAGTTGCTTTGTTTAATCATATCTCAGATGAAAACAATAGGGATTCCAAGAAAACTTAAAATACCAAAATTGTATATTAATGTATTTGGTAAATTAAAAATCCCATTTTTGTTTTGTTTTAGTATAGATAAGATGTAATATCATTCACAAGGCTTCTTATTATATTTAATGTCTTTGAGCGATAGTGCAGCGGTAGGGCGTTTGCCTTGCACGCAGCCAACCTGGCCGACCCGAGTTCGATTCCTCCGGCCCTCTCGGAGAGCCCGGCAAGCTACCGAGAGTATCTCGCCTGCATGGCAGAGCCTGGCAAGCTCCCCGTGACGTATTCGATATGCCAAACACAGTAACAACAAAGTCTCCAATGGAGACGTTACTGGGCCCGCTCGAGCAAATCGATGAACAACGGGAGGACAGTGACAGTGACAGTGAAAGGTTCTATAAAACCTAAAGTGGATTTTTTCATTGTGAATTCTACTGGTTATATTGAGTATGTGATTAGTTGACACTTTTTTTATTAAACATGCAGAAAGAATTGCACCATCATGTTGAAGAGCTTAATGTCAGTTCTGTTTTGATTGACCATCACAAAAAAGACAAGCTTAGAGAGTCCAGTAAAGATTCGAAATTTATAAAAATGAGAAATGCCTTAGGAAGACACACATATGGAATTAAGGTAAAACATCTCCTTTTCAAAAAACTTTAGTTTTAGTTTTTGATTATAGTATCGTGATTTACCAAGTTCTTAATGCCATTGTTTCGGGCGTTCAGTGTTACAACACCTTTCTCACCACCAGTGTGACCTTCCCTCCACCAGTGTACCCAGATTCCCACCCACCACCCAGGTCTTGCAGGCACAGATCTACATCATATGTTTTTTTACAACAGAAAGACAAATGAAATTTTCGAAACATAGGTAAATAAGAGTCAACCTGTGATAATTTTTATATCTCAGTGATAATACGAAAGTCATTATCTGAGAACCTCCTGAGCTGCTTTGTGCTTGTTGAGTCTTCTGTTTTAAGCTTGGTAGGTGTGTAGCTTGTGTGCAGCTTTCCCGTCAGATTTGATGTGATACTCCTGGGCTGACAGTACTATGAAATTTGGAGGCTTACTAGGAGCTATAGATCTGGAGTAATTTGGTGCTTGGCAATTTGGTAAGGTTCAGTTGTGGTGCTGGGTCTTTTCTCTGTTGGAATCTGTTGGGTTTAGCTACAGGCCTTTAGGCAGAAAGAGAAATCTGTGAATCTGCCCTGCTCGCCCTTCCGTCCCCACCCTCCCAAAGCTCCAAAGCCCCGAAATTCTCAGCCTGGACCATTCTACCTGAGATTTGGTGGTGTCATGTTCTTTTAGAGATGTGATTCTGGGCTGTTTCTCTGCCTGACAGGATGGTGGGTTTGGGTGGGAGCTGCCAATATTTTCTTCTTAAACTCAGTATAATGTCATTTATAATTATAATAATAAAAATAAATAAACATTTGTATACAACTTTTAGAACATTCTAAGATTTAGTGCTTTGTACCCAATTAACTTAAGAAATAAAGCATACCCATTTTAGTAAAAAGATTCTGCAGTGAATTATTTTCAATTATGTAACAAACCATATAGCTGTAAAAACCCATCTTTGAATTAGTGTGAATTTTTTTTCATTTTTTTATTATAATTTTACACAGCGGGTAGGGCGTTCGCCTTACACACAGCCAACATGGCCGACCCGAGTTCGATTCCTCTGCCCCTCTCGGAGAGCCCGGCAAGCTACCGAGAGTATTCAAGATGCCAGACACAGTAACAACAAAGTCTCCAATGGAGACGTTACTGGGCCCGCTCGAGCAAATCGATGATCAACAGGAGGGCCTTTACCAGCTATATTTGCACCCTAACAATATGTTGCTTTATTTTGCCAGTTATTTTTGTAGCTCATCATACTAGAATCTTTCAATTATTTTCTTGATAATATTTATGTTTTATTATTTCACTGTTGTATCTTTTATTTAGTATTGATGTTTCTTTTTGTTTTGTATTTGATTGGTTCTTTTGACACTTACTGATTAAGTTACCATAAACGGAGCCAACATATTCTCAAGGGAGCCTTCGTATTCTTGTCCAAGAGTCTCTCTGGGACTCTCCTTCACTGCTGGTGGGATGCTGACTGGTTCAGCCGTTTCGGAAGACAGTATGGAGGATTCTCAAAAAACTAGAAACTGAGCTCCCATTTGACCCAGCAATACCACTCCTGGGAATATACCCCGGAGAGGCAAAAAAATATAGTCGAAGCGACATCTGCACTTGTTTGTTCATTGCAGCACTGTTTACAATAGCCAGAATCTGGAAAAAACCTGAGTGCCCGAGAACAGATGACTGGTTAAAGAAACTTTGGTACATCTACACAATGGAGTGCTATGTAGCTGTTAGAAAGGATGAAGTCATGAAATTTACATACAAGTGGTACTACATGGAAAGTATCATGCTAAGCGAAATGAGTCAGAAAGAGAGGGACAGACATAGAAAGACTGCACTCATCTGGGGAACATAAAGTAACAAAATAGGAGAGTAACACCCAAGAATAGCGGAGATAAATACCAGGAGGTTTACTCCATGGCTTGGAAGCCAGCTGCACACTCTAGGGGTAAAGGCAGCTCAGATAGAGAAGGGAGCACCAAATAAAGGGTGTTGGGAAGATCCGCCCAGGATGGGTGATGCATGCTGAAAGTAGACTATAGACCAAACATGATTGCCACTCAATGCATCTTTTGCAAACCACAGCACCCAAAAGGAGAGAGAGAACAAAAGGGAATGCCCTGCCACAGAGGCAGGGTGGGATGAGGGAGGGTGGGAGGGATACTGGGATTAGTGGTGGTGGAGAATGGGCACTGGTGGAGGATGGGTGCTCGATCATTGTATAACTGAAACTCAAGCACAAAAATTTGTAAGTCTACAACTGTACCTCATGGTGTTTCACTAATAAAATATTTAAAAAAATAATAAAACACACTCCAAACTGGTTGAAAAATAAAATAAAATCTTAAAGAATTGTTATAATTTAAAAAAATAATAAAATTAGGCATGATTCTTGTTTATTTTTTTTAATGTGTCATACTTGATTTATAAGTCAGGTTCTTAATGAGATTTTGTTTTTAATCATTGTCTGAATATATGTAGAAGGAAATTAAGAAAAAGGATGAAGATATTCAAAGGAGTTATACTTTGAGGAAAAAATATAAAAAAGAAAAAGAAAGAAGTTACAGAAAGGAGGTGGAACATCACAAAATTAAAAGTACCTTAAGAAAGCACATATATAAAGATCAGGTAAAAGTTTTTGAGCTTAATTTCTGTTCTTTTTTTTCTGACTCTTCCTTAATAACATGACCTAGACATAAAATATGATTTTTGAGTTGACTTGCAATGTTTTAAATGTATGTAATCTGCAGTTCTCATGAAAAAAAATTTGGTTGATTTGGTATAATTTAGTTATGATTTCATATCAAAATGAAAGTATTTTATATGTATTCCCAGTGAAATTTGAGTTAATGGAGTTACTCAAATATATTTTTGTCACTTATATGAAGAAAAACTATATAAAAAAGCTACAATTTTTGAAATAAAAATTACTGTATGACTACATATGTTTATAAGGTTGGGGAAGTCGGACTTCTGAACTATTTCTTTCATGATCTAGCTTATTTAACATAAGATAGCTATTTTTAAAAATGGGATTTTTTTCCCCCTTTTTTAAGGGGAAGAATACTCCCATGCAGTATTTGATTGTCCTGGAAAGCATCGTTGTAATTCTTGTGGTTGGTTCTGATTCTTTCTGGTATTTCAGTAATTTGATCCAAGGGCATTCAGGATATAATGCAGCTTGGACACAGCAGTGCAGGGATTACCCAGACCACCCCGCTGTGCTTGAGGACATCCAGGGCTACAGGAGCTGGTGATCAGGGGATCATATAGTATGGAAATTGAACCACTACATGGAAGACATGCACCTTAAGCCTTCTTATATTCTATAGGCTTCTAAAAAGATTCCCAGAAACATTTGAAAGGTTAAAATATAAAGTACCTGGGGCCATAGCAATAGTACAGTGGGCCAGTCACTTGCCTTGCTTGAGACCAACCTGGGTTCTGTCCCTGACACCTCCTATGGTACCCTGAGCTCACCAGAAATAATCTCCAAGTGCAGAGCAGTGCCAGGAGTAAGCCCTGAGCACCACCAGGTATGGCCCCAAAACATTACATATGTAAAGTGCCTAAAAAGTACATGTATGTCAGACTAGAGAGGTAACTCGAAGGACTAGAACTCATATTTCGCATGCAGGAAAACTGGGTTCCATCCCTGGCACCACAGGTGGTTCCTTGAGCACCTCTAGAGTAATCCCTGAAGCCATTGGGTACAAATTCCCTTGGTGTCTGATTTCCAGTAGTCGGTTTTCTCATACTAGCTTGCATTTGACAGCTAGAATTTTTGTTTGTTTTTGTGGTGCTGGCAGCCAAACTTGGGGCCACACATGCAGGACAAGAGCACTGCCACTGAGCTATGTCTCCTGCTCCTAGTTTATTTGATAAGCTGGGTGTGACCTAAAAGCCCCCCCCAAGCCATCCCCAAAAAGAGAGAGACAGAAAGTTCTTATACTAATATCAGGTAAGAATTTTTGTTCTGTTATAAACTTCGTTGTTATTGCAGAATGTTTATTTTGCAGGGACTTTTGCTGTGGTTAGCACTGAAGATAAATGCATTTTTGTATATTGTCTATTGAAATGTTTATAATTTGTTGACAGTGTCTTTAGTATGTTATCTAAAATATTTTTATACATATGCAGAGAGAAATGAAGAACTCTGTTTTTGCTGGTCATGCCAAAGTATCAAAAACCAAGGATGTTCGGATGGACGTGGATATTGTTGAAATAAAAAATGCCTTACGGAAGCATATATATAGAGCTCAGGTAGATCTTAGCATTATTAAAATATGTAGTTTCATGTCTTTCTCTAATGTTAACAAAAATACAATTCTAGTAATCTGATACCCTTTATTATGTCTGTCTTCAAATATTTTTTCTCATTAACATTTGTTTTGAAATTACATGTGGCGGTGTTCCTGACTTTGTGCTCAGGGGATCATTATATGGTGCTAGGGATCAAACCTCTATTAGCCACATGCGAGGAAAGCACCTTATCTGCTATAAAATCTCTCCAGCCCATTCTTATTTGTATTTTGTTATTAATAAAGTATTTGGACACTTAGTAAGAATGCTGATTTCTCTGCTGTTTATATGTTTACTGGCTGTTAGAATTTATTGCTGGATTCCTCGTAAGATGATACTGGAGGGTGGATACTGGAAGATGATCTGTTTCTCTCTTTTCAGCCTCACTCTACACAGGTTTTAATAAAGGACCCTGAATTGCAGGGTTGTGGTTCTTTCAGTCCTTACCTTGCCTTCAGTCCTAGAGGTTGCTAAGAACCTGAGACCATGTTTTGCTTTTTTTCCCTGCCCTCTCTCTGGGATAAGGTTATCTTCTTCTTGTTTCTTGTTTCCTTACCACCCTGGAGGGGTGTGAGTTTTTCTCTTTAGCCCTTAGGGAAACAGGATCTCTGGCTTTCCCACTGTGCACTCCTCCTGAGGAAGGGAGGCTGTTTCCTGTCTCCTGTTTTTGCTTCCATTTGCATGAGCATCTGATAAGGTTCGCAGAGGTGCCACTGGGTACAAATTCCCTTAGTGTCTGATTTCCAGTCCTGTCAGTTTTCTCATACTAGCTTGCATTTGACTGCTGGAATTTTTGTTTGTTTTTGTGGTGCTGGCAACCGAATTTAGGGCCACACTTACAGGACAAGAGCACTCTCACTGAGCTATGTCTCCAGCTCCTACTTTAAATTCCCTTACCCTCTTTAAGTCGCTGGCTTTCCAGATTTTTTTTTTCCTCACTATCTGGCAGCTTCATATTTATTTAAAAAACTTATTTTCTTTCTTTCTTTTATTTATTTATTTTTTTTTTGGCTTTGGTTTTTGGGTCACAGTACCTGGCAGTATTCAGGAATTACTCCTGGCAGTTATCAGGGAATCATATATGATGCTGGGTCATCCATTTGCAAGGCAAATGCTCTATCCCCTGTGCTATCACTCCTGACAGCGTTGTCTTCTTTTTCTTTTTCTTTTTTTTAACTGAATCACCATGAGCTACAGTTACAAAACTTTCATGTTTGAGTTTCAGTCATACAGTGATCGAACACCCCTCCACCAGTGTACATTTTCTACCACCAATATCCCCAGTATCCCTCCCCCCTCGTCCCACTCTCCCCCTGCCTCGATGGCAGACAATTTCCCTGTTACTCTCTCCCTGCTTTTATGGGTAATATGGTTTGCAGTACAGACAATGAGAGGACAGCTTCATATTTAATAGTGCTCCACTTTATTGTGTGGTATTCAGCTAAAGTATAATATGAAATTGTGACCACAGTACCCATTAATGTTGGTACAGTCTGTCTGTTGTGACAGCCAAGATGAGCCATTGATGTTACATGCTATACATGCAGCATCCAAGTGTGAGCCACTGGTGGTATGAACCAGTGTCAGTGTGTTAAAGGAGGCTTCCTTCTAGGCTCTCAGTCTGAGGGAAATCAGTTTTCATGCCCCCTGTTCTTGGTGGGTCCGGTCTGCCTCTATATAGCAGAATAGTTGGTTGCATTAAAATGTGTGTCTCTGATGATTTTCAGGAAAAATTATGATTCAGTTAGCTTGCAGCCTTTTCTTACCTTTTCAGCTTAGGGGAAGCTGGAGCAATATCATTATTTCAATTTGCATTGCTTCAGTTAGTTGAAGTTTGGGCATATATTATACCTTTATTGTGTTTACGTATTTCTTCCACTGCCAATTGTTTGTCATACTATAGTTTAATCTTTACAGTGAGTTTTAAAAAATCACTGTCTATGGCACTCTTAAGTCTGATCAGGATATTTTCTCGTGTTTGTTGCAATTATTTTCCCAGTGTAATTCTTGGCAGAAAATTTATAGATATCTTCAAAGAACACAAGAAGATTGTTGGATGATAATGGAGATAGAAAGAAAGATACAACATTTTTTTCTTGTGTGGGTTATTATATAAAATGTTCTTTTATGTTTATAATTATTAAAATAGTAAGGGAGGTTGAGTAATAGAGCTCTTCTAGTCTTACATAATTTTTTAAAAGTCATTCTAATTTAGAAGGAAAAAAATGGAGAACGGTTTCTCATGAGTGCCAGTCCCTTAAAATGAAAGAAGTCACTGCTTTAAGCAAACATGAACGTGCAATTAGTTACAGCTGTTTGGGGGTTATGTTAATGGGGGGTTGTGACTGGGATCATTCCTGGTGGTCCTTGGGGGGTGTTTTCAGCTCCCTGCAGTACTTAGGTAATCAGGTGATGACAGGAGTTGGATGCGGCCCCTAACGTGTTTTTCTCCTTTCAAATTTTTCAAGCAGTTCTTGGTGCCTAGGCATCACTCCTGCCACTAATAAACCCAGGGGTACTTGGGCCCAGCAGTGTCAGAGGCCACCAGGGCCTCACTGTGCTGCTCAAGGGACTGTGCAGTACCAGAAATTGAACCTAGGCAGACCCTGAGGCCCCATTTCCCCGGCCCTATTAATGTGTTCTTCAAACTCATTGTAAGTTTGAGCAAGGTGTTATGCTCTGTAAGCAGAAGTGTGCTTTTAGACTTAAAAATCTTTAATTCTGTTGTTGCTGTTTTATAGGCTATCAGGTACAACTGCATTCGAATAGATAAACAGCCAGTGTACAGTGTAGAGGTAAGGCACGACGTGATTGGAGTAAAGTGGTGATTGGAGCCCAAAAAACGGTGGGGGGGGGGGGGGCTCTGTTTGGTTATTTTAGGTAATTTTGACGTGAAGGAATGCATTGGCTGTATGAAAAAAGCTTTCTATCAAACTGAAATGTAATTTCTTGATTTAAAAATTTAAAAGAAAACTCAGTACTCCACAAATGAAAATTCTGTGCAGTAATGAAAACTGGTGAGAATCTAAAGTACCATGTCGTCATCAGCAGCAAAGAGCTTGGTGTCGCTGTTTGCTGTATCTCACAGCCCTTCACAATGACTATTTCCAGCTCAGAATTTTTATACGATATTACAATATATTATTTTTATTCTTTCTAAAATATTGTTTTTGATTTGGGGCTATTCCAGGTTGTGCTGAGGGCTCGCTCAGGATCGCTCCTGGCGGAACTCGGGGGAGCCATATTAGGTGCTGGGAATTAAATCTCGGTGCGCAGTGTGCAAGACAAATGCTCTACCCGCTGGACCATCATTCCGACCCCTCTTCGGAATTATTTTATTTTGGGTCATAGCAGTAGTACAGTGGGTAGGATGCTTGCCTTGCCCGTGGGCAACCCAGGTCCAATCTGGCACCCCTTGTGGTCCCCTGAGTTCACTAGGGGTGATTCCCTGAGTACAGCTCGGTGTGGCCCAGAACAAAAACAATTTGTATTATTTCCTATAGTCTTTCAGATTATTTTTAATTATTGGCTAGTTCAAAGATTTAAATTGTTGAAATTATTTTGACAGAAAGAAACATGTTTTTGAGGACCTAAGAATTCAGTAATGTGCATCCAAAAAATTTTATAATACTATAGGATTTGCCACTTTTTGAGATATGAGTTGATAATTGTAATATAGTGGATCTTAATACCTGTGAACTGCTTTAAACATAACAAAAAAGTAATCTTGTACCTAAAGATCTATGTATAATTATATTTCTAACCAAGATCTTAGGATCAGTCACTTAGCAAATGCCTTTAAAGTTTGCTTTTAATGCTTGCCAGAGTAACTCAGTGGGGTGTTTGACTGAACATTACTTTTAGAGGTAGTATTTTATCATGCTATTTAAAGCAACAAAATAATAAATGCAGAAATGTATTTTGCAGTATTTTTGAGTTATAAAATAGTCATCTACTGTTACTCTTTTTGAATTGCATAGCTACTGTATGAAGTAATGAGGGTAAGAATTATGTTTATAAATAAAGAAACCTAGGTCCTTTGTATTTCAAAATTTGGTGATAAATTTTACTTTTGAATCATAAAATCCTTTTATGTTTTTAAGGTTAAAAATGCTGAATTTCCCAGAGGTGTGTTAAATTTAATTGAAAGCCTCATAGAAGGACAGTTTTTTAAGGAAGCAATTGAGGAACTTTCCTCTTTGCAAGCACATTATATTCCCCCTGTATGCCTTCTTCGTGCTCTTCTAGAGAACATTCTACAGGTAAGAGCAGTCTTTTAAAGAATGTTTTGACCTGGGCATTATTAGACCTTTTTTGTGTGTGTATTTTGTTTTTTTTTTTTTTTCCTGTTTATAGTGTTTTACTCCTCATCTATTAGGAAGTGGCAGTACCCATTGATTTTTTTTACTTTATTCCTAAGGTAAAACAATCTAGGATTTCCAAGTTTACGTTCTCTTTGGTTTGTATCGAAATTATATTCCAGTTTGTCTTGAAATTATAATAATAATTTGAAATTGTATTATAATTTGGTTTTATATTGAAGTATCTAATAAGACAGATTGCAGTAAACTGAATATCATGTAGTTTTTTAATATGTTACGAATCATTTTTGTTCATGATAAGCATAGATGGTGAATATACTTAAAGTGAAAATCAGTAGCAAGTAGATTTTTATAAAGGTAGTATAATACTATTTTTTTGTTCTGTTTTTGTTTTGGGGCCATAATAGGCAGTGCTCAGGGCTGAGTCCTGACTGCACTCAGATATCACTCCTGGTGCTCCTTGGAACCTTATGGGATGCCAGGGATTGAGTCCTGGTCGACCACGTGCAAAACAAGTGCCCTGCCTACTGTGATATCTCTTTGGCCCCTGATATTAATATTTTTAATAAAGGTGCCGATCTGAATATAATATATCCTATATGTTATAAAATAGATTTTAATATTTTAATCCAGTATTAGAGTTGATTAAAAATATTGAATGTAAAGTTTCTTCATATCAGGATACATTTTGGAAGTCAATCTCATTTGAATCATAAAAAGTAAAATGGACATTTCATGTCACAATAACCAGTATCTTCTATGACATGTACACATATTGAGAGAGGGCCTCTCCTGATATTGAACTATTAACTAGACATGATAGTCCATCTGTTCTTTGTGCATGTATTTAAAAACACATGTATTTACCAAGAAATTTAGGTCCAATTTATGATATCTTTAGACTCAATTAGCTCAATTTAGCTATAGTTTTTTTTGTTATTTGTTTCTTTTTCAATAACAGGATAACATAGATACGTTTTCTGGCCGATACTTTCACATATTGTCGGCTCTTCTTCACTTGCATCCGCCTTGGAAGTCTCCAGCCATGTCACGATACTACTTAGAATTGTTTCAGTGTCCCACGTGTATGAAAGGAGCGTGGTCTTTATTTGAAGTGCTGATCAGGTAAGAAATTTCTTGTCTGAGGATGTTCGATTTCATCTGGTAGTTCTGTTTATACACACACATACTCACACATAGATTTTTTTTTTAATTGTATGTTTATGGGGCTGAAGGGAGACTGCAGCGGATAAGGCACTTGTCATGCATGTGTCCAAGGCAGGTTTGATCCCTAATATTGTCCCCTGATCCCTCCAGAAATGATCCCTGAGCACAGAGCCAGGAGTAAGCCTTGAGCACAGGCAGATATGACCCAAACACAAACAAAAATAAGTATGTTGCTTTTTTAAAGATTTGTGTCTTTTGTTTTGTATACAACCCATAAGACCAAGGCTGGACCAGTCATGTTGTCAGTTAGTTTAAAAAAATAAAATTGTCAAAGACTATGTGAAATACACTCGCAGTTATTTTTATTTTTTTAATGAAATGATATATTCGCATAATTTTAAAAATCTAGGAATTTATTGAATGACTATCAATTTTTGGTCATCAGTGTGTGAGCAATTATAATTTTATATACTTTTATATACTTTTCTCTTACATCTTCTCTAAAATATGCAAGGTGTCACTTTTATATCTTTTCAGGTAGAACTTTGTATTTTTAATCTAAACTGAATGTTTCCTGGCATTATTATCTTTCATACTTCTTCACGTCATGTCATCGCCTTTAAATTCTTTGTTTTCAAATTTTACTCTGCAGAAATCCTTCCTTTTTTTCTTTTACCATAGCACAAATAATCATCCCCCACCATTCTTTTTTTCCTAGTATCTGCTCCAGATAGATGTTTTTTTTATTTAAGTGTTCACTTTTAGAAAGTCCATAATAAGGAAAAGGACAACCTGACTAAATCAGAAAAAAACTAGACCATTGGTCAACTCTTTGATCATAAATATTTGCCTACCATCTCAGTTGTGGTATGCATTTGAAACAATCTAGTGGTTTAGGGGCTGGAGTGATAGCACAGTGGGTAGGGAGTTTGCCTTGCACGCAGCCAGCCCAGGTTCGATTCCCAGCATTCCATATGGTCCCCTGAGCACTGCCAGGGATAATTCCTGAGTGCAGAGCCAGGAGTGACCCCTGTGCATCACCGGGTATGACCCAAAAAGGAAATAAAAAAAAATCTAGTGGTTTAGTTTAAGTTCTGAGCTTTGTAAAAATGTTCTTTCAACAAATGTTTATTGTTTAAGTACACATTTTATCTAAGTACACATTCTTTTAACAAATGTTTATTGTTTATTCCATACATACAGACATTGTGGTACTTTCCATGAATAAAAAGATAACATTCTTTTTCTTTCTTTTCAAAAAATTATTGACTTAGTCTTTTTGACCATACCTCTCTGTGCTCAGGGCTTACTCTCCTCTTTGTAATTCGCAGCCAACCAGGCCAGCAGTCCAGCTCTAGGCCCCAAGGGTGCAGTGATACTCAGGGGACAAGATGTGAGGTGATCTGACCACATTGCCACAAGCATGACCAGAGTCATAACCTCTTTGCCCTTTTTGGCCAAAGATAACTTTTTCCACATAATTGAAAAATCCTCTCTCCCTTTCTCTCTCCCTCCCTCCCTCCTCCTAGCGCTCTCCTTCCCCTCCGCATTCCACTCCTTACCCGTCTCCCTCCCTTAAATTTCATTTAACACCAAGACAGCCTGGACCCACATATATCCTTGTTTTTGATTTGTTTTTGCACCCACCTGATGATGCTCAGGAATCACTTCTGGCGGGACTTGGGGCCTTAGGGGCACTGGTGATTGAACTGGAGCCAGCCTGGGCAAGGCAAACACCCTGTCCCCTGTACTGTCCCTCCAGTCCCACACACACATCATTTCAAAAAAAAAACCAAAAAACTGTTGTCTCCATCTCTAGCGATTTTAAAATGATACACTCACAGACAGTTTAAAAAAAAAAAACAAAAAACATGTTCTGTCTCTCACAGTTTTAAAGAACTAAGAACTATATGGACATTCCAGAACAGATTTAGGAATTGAATGAGTTTATATAGTTAATGTTTATTAAGGACACTCTTAACCTGAGACCGGTATTCAGAAAGAAAGTAGAAATGAAAAAGGTGGAGTGGACTTACAAGAATTGCTTTGTTCCTAAAATTAATAATAAAGTTGAGAGAAGATTATAATTAGCATTGCTGCCTAGATTCTCTTAAATCTTGATCCTTATCTCTTAGTAGTCATACATTCTGCTTTTAAAATGTTACTGTGTTGTTCAATCCAGTAACACTAGCCACATTTAAGGATATTTAGTTATTTTTTTACTTTATTTTTGGCCGACCAGAGTTCAATTCTCTGCCAAACACAGTAACAATTGTCACAATGGAGACATTACTGGACCCACTTGAGCAAATGGATGAACAGCGGGAGGACAGTGACAGTGATTTTTGGTTTTTGCTCAGAGCTTACTCCTCCTCTACGCTTAGGGATTATTCCTGATAGTATTTAGGGGATCATATTTGGTGCTGGAGTCAAACCCCCTTTGGCTACATGTAAAGCAAGTACTTTACCTATTGTACTATCTCTCCAGCGTAGAAGTGTGTGTGTGTGTGTGTGTGTGTGTGTGTGTGTGTGTGTGTGTAGTTAAGATCTAATAAATTAAAAATCCAGGTTTTTAGTCGCAGTGGTCACATTTCAAGTGTTCATTAGAACATATCCATCATTGCAGAAAGTTCTATAAAAAAATAAAAAGAAAATAGTTTTTTCAGCTGTAAAGGTAAGGTAAAAGGTAAAGGCCCTCCCGTTGATCGTCGATTTGCTCGAGCGGGCCCAGTAACGTCTCCATTGGAGACTTTGTTGTTACTGTGTCTGGCATATCGAATACTCTCGGCAGCTTGCCGGGCTCTCTGAGAGGGGCGGAGGAATCGAACTCGGGTCGGCCATGTTGGCCGCTTGTAAGGCGAACGCCCTACCGTTGTGCTATTAATTTTTTTTAATTTTAAAAAATTAAAAAAATACCCCTAAATCACTTTTAGTTATGTAAATAATGAAAAAGAAAATAATTGAGTAAGAGGAAGCACATAAATAAATGTAGAGTAAGCTGGTCATTTGAATCAAAAGGTTTATTATATTCCTAATATTTTTGTCCTTTATCTGATGAAATTGAGAGTAAAGGGATAATACCAGGTGGCTGTTAAATATTATAGTCCTTGGAAAATTGAGAAATAAGAACTGTATCCTTCAGAATTATGTACTGTGTGGTGTTTGACACGATGCGATATAGAAATACAATATATCGTTAGGAAATTTTGTTAAGTGAGTCTGTTTTGTTGAAGCAGAGTCCTTTAAACTTTTAACTTTGCCCTAAGAAAAGACATACTTTGAGGACTGCAGTGATGGTACAGTGAGTGGGTGTTTGCCTAGTGACCTGGGTTTCATTCCCTGTGTTGCATATGATCCCTTGGGCACTGCCAAGAGTTATTCCTGAATGCACTGCCAGGAGTAACCCCTGAGCGTTGCCAAGTGTGACTCCAAAACCAAGAAGGACAAGAAAGCGATACATGCTTTGTTTCCAAATCACCTAATGAATTGCTTGTGTTCTAGAGTGTTGGCGTCCTGTTTTTCAGATCTTGCCTTTTCAATGAGAGCTTTTGTCACCAGCTTTCAGAAAGCACCATTGAGTCTAAGGTGCTTCACCTGACGCTACTCAAGTTTTTCTTTAATTTAGTTGAAAGTGAAGTGAGACATCTGAGTCAAAGGTACGTTTCAGTAACAAAAAAAAAAAACACTTTTATATGTTGTTTTGTGTTTTCTAATAATTTTATACATATTTCTAAAAACCTTCCCTTGTTCTCTAGCTTGATAGAGATTTGTTTTAATAACATACATCCTCTATATTCAGTTGCAGTTTATATTCTCTATACTTTCTCCATTCAATTTTAGATTTTACCATGTAGCATTTGAATAGAGTATATTTTCAGGATTTCTAAATTTTTTTGGTATGTGTGGGGCAGGTAGGCTATACTCAGCGGTACTCAGTGTTTACTTCGGGCTGTGTGCTTGGGGTCATTCCTAGCAAGCTTGTGAGACCAGGGATTGAACCCATGTTGGCCTCGTGCAAGGCAAAAGCCCTGCACACTGTATTTTCGCTCTCACCCAGGATTTCTACAATTTTTAATTGCTTGTAATGAATGACTTAAAAGCTATGCTTTTGAGTTAAAAGCTATACTGAATACATAATATCTACAGTAAGTATTTTTTTTAATGCTATAAAGCTAGCACTTAGTACTGTGTGAACTTTATGATTATTTGAACTGAACCCATTTCTTAAAATATTTGTTCTGAATTATAATCATATTTTATAGATGTTTTAAATTATGACCTTTGTTCATTCAGAGCTTGTTAACTTATATTGTTTATGGAAAAGGACAAGACTGCCTAATAGCTGTAATAATCAAATGGCAAAAAATGGTATTTTGTTCATCTTGTCATTAGGTTATGCGACTGGTCAGATTCTCAGAGCCTGAAAATAGCAGGAAAGGCAATTCTTCTTGAAATCTTTTGGTCAGGGAGTGAGACCTCTGGACTTTTGACCAAGCCACTAAATATGCTTTTGGAGTGGACTATATATTCTCACAAGGAAAAAAGCAAGTCTAATGATGTAAGTATGGTTAATATGCAAATGAACAAGATGGACTATGAAAATCGTCTCTTAAAATTTATGCATTTTTCTCTTCTTTTATTCAGATTAATTGGGAGAAGGTAAGATATACCTAGATGCATCATATTTTCTATTAAATTTACTTTGTTTTAAGGTAAAAAGATCTTGGGAGACTGGTTTCATCATCTCATTTTAGAATAGTGTCTAGGGAGTGATTTGACCATTACTGCTAAGAAATCTATTTAAATCTAACATTTTTAATTTTAATTTTATTTTTATAAAGTAAAATTGTTTAATTTTATTTTTATAAAATGTAGATTCCTCCTCCCCTCTTGGAGAGCCCGGCAAGCTACTGAGAGTATCTCGCCCACATGGCAAAAGCATGGCAAGCTACTCGTGACGTATTCGAAATGCCAAATACAGTAACAAAGTCTCACAATCGAGACGTTACTGGGCTCGCTCAAGCAAATCGATGAACAACGGGAGGACAGTGACAATGACAAAATATAGCACAGCAATAGGGCCTTTGCCTTGCACGCAGCCAGCCCGGCTGAGCCGGTTCGATTCCTCCGCCTCTCTCGGAGATCCTGGCAAGCTACCGAGAGTATCTTGCCCCCACGGCAAAGCCTGGCAAGCTACCTGTGATGTATTCAATATGCCAGACACAGTAACAACAAGTCTCAAAATGGAGATGTTACTGGGCCCGCTCAAAGTTGTTTACAATAATTTATTACATTCAATATTCCAACACCAATCCCATCACCATTACACCTTCCCACTACCAATATTTCAAATTTACTCAACCACCACCCTATCCGGTCCCAGTATCAGGCACTAAACAATTTATTTTGTATTACTTGTTATGAATAATCTGCTAAAAAATTCAGAAAAAGTTTCCTAGAAGAAAGTACGTGGAGATTGTTGTATCTCAGCCTGGAGCCATTAAGTCCAGCCATTAAGCCCTGATATATAAGAAATTCATTAACATATTGTTACAAGTGTTATATTTATATAAATATGTTATAAATATTATAACATTTATATTAACTCGTCACTGTCACTCCCGTTGTTATCAATTTGCTCAAGCGGGCCCAGTAACGTCTCCATTGTTGTACTTGTTACTGCGATTGGCATATTGAATACGTCACGGGTAGCTTGCCAGCCTCTGCCATGCGGATGAGATGAGATACTCTCGGTAGCTTGCTGGGCTCTCCAAGAGTGTGGAGGAATCGAACCGGGGTTGGCCAGGTCGACCGTGTGCAAGGCAAACACCCTACCTGCTGTACTATCACTCCAGCCCAATATTTATATAAATATTTATATTTATATAAAATGCCTGCTTCCCCTAGTCTCTTGTGACCCAGGGGTCACACCCATAAGCCACACCCTGCCGGCACCAGATAATCTCATTGGCCACCCTCCAGAGCTCACGGCTGCTCCTCCCAGACGGGAGTGTAAAATGAGACCCACATAACCATGCCACCGGACTCCGTGCCAGGCTGCTTTCACTCTGGACGCCCCAGAGTGGGGCAGGTGAGAGCCCTCCCCGCCCCAAGGGACCCAGCTCCAGCAGCCGACCTCCACTACCCAACCGCTGCCATGCTGCAGGCTGCTTTCCAGACCAACAAACACATCATAAGACACTTCCTACCCATTTTCCATAATTACCACACCATGTTTGATGAGATTCAGACATTAGACAACAAATCATAGAGAGAAATATATACATTTTACATTTGTGTTTATATATATAGATATATATAGAACCCAGCAAGCTATTGAGTATTCCGCCCGCACGGGCAGAGCCTGGCAAGCTTCCCATGGCGTGTTTGATATGCCAAAAGAATAACTATAATGATTCTCATTCCAACCCTGAAAGAGCCTCCAGTAGTTGGGAAAGATAAGTAAGGAGAGGCTGCTAAAATCTCAGGGCTGGGACAGATAGAGATGTTACTGGCGCCCATGAGTAAATAGGCAAACGGGATGACAGTGATTCAGTGATTTTATATATATATATACACACACACACACTCACATATATATATGCACACACTATATGTATATACGTATATATGTATCTAGATATATACATTTGGAGATATATACATACGCACACACATATATTTATATATTTTTAATCGATATCAGTTGCGTTCTACTTTACACCCCATCACTTCTGGTGTAGAGTATGATAATACTTCAGGAATTCTAAAATTTTAAATAGATTGATAGAGCTGGAGTTAAGTTTTTAACTGGGTGGTGACTTTGGGATCAGGGACATCTCTGCATCTTGTTGCTCTCTTCCGGGATTTATTTGTGAGTCTCTGGATCATGGCTGTTAACGTGATTATATGGCGCCAGAAGCAGCTCATGGGGTGACTGGCAGGCTCCTGGAAGAACAGGGAGATGGGGAGAGGTTGTCCCTCTTCGACTTCATTAGAGCCTGGAGATTTTGGTCACAAAACCCACATGCCTGAGTTTTTTAGCAGATTTACTCATGGATGAGGCTCATCCAAACCTGTGGAGATCGGCTGTGAACATGGTGGTGATTAAGTTCTGGAGATTTCGGCTCCCGAGGCTCTGTTGGGGTGGGTGAGTCCCACTACTCTGCCCCCCTCGGAGCTGTCCCAGATAATGAGGTTCAGCCTGGGCAGGATCCGGAAACATTCCTCTTTTTTTTTTAACCTTCTTGACATTTCGCTTTTGGGGAGGAAGTAGGGAAAGCTTAATAGTGTCTGGAACTTCAGGAGCCCGCCAGTGATTATTGAGTTCAGGGCCCCAAGGATGCCATGCTGTTCAGGCCCTCTGGTACCAGGTACTCCCCAGCCACCCTCTGGTACCAGGTATTCCCCAGCCACCCTCCTGGTGCTGGGGACTTACAGAGCCACACCTCAAGGTGCTCCTAAGGACCATGTCCTGCCAGCCATTGCACTTCGACTGGTTGATAACTGTTGTACTTTCTCCAGACCCCAGCATTTTGCTTCTTAAAGAACCTGTGATTTGAAAAAGCAAGTGAATCTAACTTTTTTTGTGTAGTAGGAATAAAAAAATTCTGGTAGCTTTAAATACTATCTAGGTGTCCTGTAACTTCCTGAACTATTTGTAAACAAGTAGCACTAAAAATTTGACATCCAGTGACTTTAGTGTATTTAGATCTAAAGTAAAGTTGGGTGTTTGCTTAGAGAGTCAAATCATTGTAGATACTTTTGAAATCCTTTTCCCTGAGAATTCTGCCTCTGTTTTTCCTCGAAGTATTTTATGGATTCTGGTCTAGCCTGAGGTTTTTAGTCCACTTTGAGTTAGCTTTTGTGAGTGGTGTGAGACAAAATCTCATTTTTTCACATGTGGCTGTTTAGTTTTCCAAGTATCTGATTGGTCAAGAGACTTTCCTTGTTCTTAATATACCTAATTCATTTGTTGTAAATTGTCCCCTGAGCACCACTAGTATTATCTCCTGAGTGCAGAGCCAGGAGTAACCCCTGAGCATCACCGGGTGTGACCCTGAAGCAAAACAAGTAAACCCAAAAGACATGTTTTGTAGATTAACTTTAAAATCTGAGTGTTTTGGCCACTTGGGGGGTTTTATCATTCCATAAAATTTTTTATTAGTTTTTGTGTCATGCCCAGCTGTGCTCAAGGCTTACTCCTAGCTCTGCACTCAAAGATCACTCCTTATGGTGATCAGGAGACCATGCACATGGGCTGTTGGGATTGAACCTGGGTTGTATGCCTACAAGGCGAGTGCCTTACCCACTATACAATTCTCTGACCCCTCCGTACAGAATTTAGTAGAATTTATTTTAAGCCCTTGAAGACATGTTTCGAATTTTAATGGCAAGTACATTGAATTTCTATAATGCTTTGAGTGCAGATAGGATTGCTTCAAATCAAAAGGTTCTTGCTTGGCAAAATAAAAAACAAAAACCTCAAGGTAAAATAAAAAGAAGGGAGAAAATATTTGCACATTATACAGCAGATAAATGGCTAATATCCAAGGTTTATAAAGACTTAGAAAACTCTAGGAGAAAATCCAATAACTCCATCCAAAAAATGGTGAGGAGATAAATACATAAGTCTTGTACTATTGGCTAGTAGGCATATGAAGAAGTGCTCATCATCACTTATTATTAGGGCAATGCAAATCAAAGCAAGGTGAGATACTATCTCACACCAGTGAGGATGATGTCTGTCAAAAAGTCTGGAAACAACCAATATTGGTATGGATGCAGTGAGAAAGGAACACCCTCATTCCTTGTTGGTGGAAATATCACTTAATTCATTCTCTATAGAAACCAATATGGGGTTTTTTCAGAAAGGTGGAAAAGAACTCCCGTACAGCCCTGCTACTCCACTTCTTAAAATCTATTTCAAAACACAGAAAACACATTGATTTGAAAGGGTATTTGCACACTAGTGTTTACTGCAGTATTCACTTAGCATAATATCCAAGATAGGATATGACTTAAATGTCCCACAATGGGTGACACAACCAAGAAACTGTGGTACATATACACAGTAGAATACTACATAGCTCTAAGGGTAGATAAAATCATGCAGTTTATTGCAATGTGGATGAAATTCAAGGGTATTGTGAAATAAGTCAGCAGGAGAATAACAACTAGATGATCTCACATAACTGGAATCTAGAGAGAGAACAAGAGAACAGGCAGTACTAAGAAATGCCACACCCGTTAGAATACAAAACCAATTTCCAAACTGGTGGGGACATTAGGGAGTGGAGGATGCACAGAGGCAGATGGTTGTGGTCACTTTGGGATTGGGTGCAGTAATTTTTTATATTGATAACGTTAACTTTAATACTACTTTAATAAAATAATTAATGCTACCTAGACTACTATAGATAAAAGAATTTTTTTAAATAAAAAGTGGGAAGTTTCTATCCAAAAATAAGGTTTTGTTGGGAAAATCAAATGCTATAAAATGATGTATTTGTGAAGCAATATGAAGAGTAGCGTTGTATCTTAACAGTTGCAGCATTA